CGTTTGACGACATCAGCTAAGTTAGATTCACGAAGTAGTACAAAACGCTGTTTGTTCGTGATTTCCGCTAATGCTCCCACCGACTGCAGTTCTAATGCTGTCAAGGACACATTCTATCCCGAACCGAATGCGCTATTACGCAGTGCTACTAGTTCAGATATTATAGTACTTGCAGGGGATATGAACGCACAAGTAGGGCGTCTGAGCTCTTCAGAAGCTCAGCTGGGTGGTAAGTATGGACTTAACGCCGAACGGACTGACAACGGCGAGCGTCTGCTGCAACTGTGTGCGGAGCACCAGTTGTTTCTTACTAGCACTGCTTTTAGACACAGTGGGCGCCGAAGTGCCACTTGGCGTCCACCTGTAGCTGGCCAGCGATGGACCCAAATTGACCACATAGCCATAAGTTACAGGTGGCGCGGTTCCATTCTGGATTGCCGCTCGTACTGGAGTACCTGTGTCGACTCTGATCATGCCTTGGTGCGCTGTCGTTTCTCCCCCGTCTCCCCCGATTGGCAACGGAGAAATTGTCCCAGCCCTCTGTCAGGCAAGCCTATCAAGAAGCACTGCATAGCGAACTTCCGCTGTCTTGTCCTAATGACGCTGAGCTTCAGTGGAATAGGATCTCGGCCGCTATGCACGATGCAGGAGCATCTGTTTGTGGCATTATCAGTCGTCACCGCACCAGTCACTGGATATCCGAGAGGTCCGTGAACCTTTTGGAAGCTAGAAGGCACCTCCCGGCTGCCTCTGAGCACAATGTGACCAGACGGGCTATTAGGCGTGAACTAAAGCGGAGCCTGCGTGCTGACAAGAAAGCCTGGTGGACCAGTCTGGCTCAAGAAATGGAAGAAACAGGAGCAGTAGGCAGTTACCGGAAGCTCTTCCAGCTAATACGCACCACTGGTCCGAGAAAGCCAGGCGTCAGTGAGACAATCAGAGACAGCGCGGGTGCGCTGATACACAATAAGGAGCGCCATATGGCTTGTTGGGCGGAACACTTTCAAGATCAGTTCAGCTGGCCCCCTGCTCCCGGACCTCTTCCTACTCAGATGATGCAGGACGAGCCATGGACGGTTAGTTTAGAGCCTCCGTCGGAGGCCGAGGTCCGAAGCGCGATCACAGCCCTCAATCGTTTTTGTGTCGCTGGCCCGGATTCCCTTCCACCTGCACTATTTAAGGATGGAGGTGAGGTCCTCTGCAAAGCACTGACCTCCCTATTCGAACGTATCTGGAACGAAGAGAGTGTGCCGGCTAATTGGAGCGAATCGATTATAGTGGCAATATACAAGAAGGGCAGTCGCACAGACTGTTCTAACCACAGGGGTATTAGCCTAACGCCAGTTGTGACAAAATTACTGGCCTCGATTATCGTTCGTCGCCTCACTGCAGAATGGGAATCTCGCATTAGGGAAGAGCAGGTCGGTTTTCGCCCAGGACGTGGCTGTATAGACCATATATTCACTTTGCGGCAGGTGCTAGAGCAGCGCCACGCATACCGCAGACCGACAATAGCTGTGTTCCTCGATTTCAAGTGTGCGTTCGATTCAGTCGATCGATCGATTCTGTTCGAAATACTTGCGCGGAAAGGTGTTCCCACGAAATATGTGAACATCCTTCGTGCTCTATACTCGAACACTAGAGGCCGCGTCAGGGTCTATGGTGCCCTATCGGATAGCTTTTCGACTACAAGTGGCGTTCTTCAGGGTTGTCCGATTTCCCCGTTTTTGTTCAATTTCGTCGTGGATTCTATCATGGAGTGTTCCCTTGCGGAATCTCACGATGTAGGCGTTGAAGTGCTGCCTGGTGAAAAGTTAGTTGATCTAGATTATGCGGACGATATCGTCTGGCTTTTCGACAATGTTGAGGCGGCACAATCAACCCTGAATAGCCTGTCCAGAGTGGTCCCATTATTTGGTATGCACTTCGCACCTTCAAAGTGCAAAGTGTTGATGCAGGACCACCAGCCACTTGATGACCCCTTGACGCTTGCTAACGAGGAACTCGAGGTGGTTGATCAATTCACTTATCTTGGCAGCTGCATCAGCAATGATGGGCGCATAGAAACTGACGTGAACTCACGCATTGCAAAGGCTAGAGCTGCCTTCTTGAACCTGCGTCATCTTTGGCGACAGAAGGGAGTTCCCCTCCGTCTGAAAGGCCGTGTATACAAGGCCACAGTGAGGGCCGTTCTGCTGTATGTTAGTGAGACTTGGCCCCTTCGATCTGAAGATCTGAGGCGCCTTCAAGTCTTTGATCATCGTTGTCTGGGAAGCATTGCTGGAGTCGGATGGCACCAGCGTGTCCGCAACGATGATGTGCGTAGGCGAGTACTAGGTGGTGATAATCATGCTAGCTCCCTAGAACAACAGATAGCACGGAATAAGTTGCGTTGGCTCGGGCACGTGCTACGCATGCCTGGTCACCGCTTACCTAGGAGGGCCTTGTTTAGTCTGCCAGGTGTAGGGTGGCGCAAGGCTCGAGGTGGACAGAAGTTGACTTGGCAGCGGGAAATGAAGTCACTGACGACCAAACTGGGTGCCGTTGGTCCGTCTCGCCTTCCGGGTTGGAGTCCACGTGACTCACCTTGTGCTTGGCTCGAGACTTTACAGGACATGGCTCGCAACCGACACCAGTGGCGCGTCTGCTGCCGTCTCCTAATCGGATTGTCTGTTTAAAGTGTGTTTGGTGCTGAGTTATCTGCGGGGTAATGACTGATTATGACGCGTGGCAGTGAAAGCCGCAAGGAAGCTGTCTCGCCGATGCCGCCTTATGTTTGCACGATAGCCAGCTGTTTGTGACGGAATGTTGTCTACACAAGGTGTAGGCGCCTTGACCCTGAATGTTTGCTTAGGGCATTAAGGTTTCCAGGTAAGTCCTCCTTTCTCTCCCTCTTCCTATTCTTTATTTCATAGGTCCTCATGGTTGTATGGCAGCGAAGCATCAGTTCAAATGGCTGATGTACTGCTGTTGATGATGATGATGATGATGCTTGCCTCTATCGTCTTCTGTAGACTGACTGGCACCCGTGAAAGCCAAATTCGTGAGGGCCAAGCCGAATTGCCCCGAAATCGAGGCTTCATTGCCCACATCTTCACATTACGCTAATTATTGGAACACCGCTATGTTTATTGGCGATCCACCGTGGTTGTGTTCCTTGACACTAAAGGTGATCGATGAGATCTTTAGAACTGTCTATTCAGGAAAAGTATGCCCGATAACTATGTGTCATAAGTGCGCTGTAGGCATATACTTCGGGTCGAGTGAAGTTTTATGACAGGCTGTCGCCGCCCTTCAATATCTCCAGTGGTATGAGACAAAGATGCGCCCTGTCACCTTCCCTCTTTAACTTCGCCATTGACGAAGTTATCAAAACGACGTTCGCTGGACAAGACACAAGGCGTAGAGCTGCTTCCTGGCGACCGATTTTTTGACTTGGAGTATGCTTATGACATTGCCCCAATCTGTGACAGCTCCCAGACGTGCCAAGCTTCACTAGATAAATTAACATTGGTTATGCTTTGCACCCTCGAAATTCAAAGTTCTCTTCCACTATTGACGGCGACCCATCCTTGCGCTAACCCTCGTCGAGAAATTCAATTATCTAGACAGCTGATGCGCGGCTTGAGAATGGAAGATGAGATCACGAACTGTATTGCTAATGCTTTAGGCGCTTTTGCGAATCTGTGCCACCTGTGTCGCCGGTACAACATCACTCTCGCCCTGCTGCATGGTTGCGAAACCTGACCCATAAGATGGACAGACGTAAAGAGGCTAGTTGCGTTCGTTTGCCGCTGCCTTCGTAGCTTGGCTCCTATCTGGTGTGAACACCGCATGAGTCATGAACGTGTTCGGCGTCATGTGTTTGATGCAGGAAATACACCAAGCTCCGATTTCTGGGCCACGTTTTACGCATACCGGCTGCTGCGTCGTGCGTTGTTTGCGCGCCGGGGCTGTGAATGGAAGAAGAGGAGGGGAGGCAAATCACCGAGGTATGAGGACCCTCACTTCAGACTTGGTGTCGGTTGGTGTCTCACGGCTGCCGAGCTGGAGTCCGAAGGACGTTGAACGCCTTTGGTTGGATACACTAGTTGACATGGCAGGCACCCGACCTCAATGTTGTTTGTGTTGTTAGTGTTTTTGTCCCTCCGCTTATCTTCTTCCCCAACCAAGACCTCTGTATTGAACGCGTATCTTACTGTGCACTATGTGACCTTTTTCTACTCTCTAATGTTTAGGGTCGCTTTTTCTTATATTTTATATTTTTTAAATGGTGTTTTTCCCTTCCAGCTAATGTGTAATTGTGATGATAATGATAACATATAGTACTCTAAATGGCCTAATTCCCTAAGCAATCACTAATGAGTTGTCACCAATGAGTGTCTGGCAGTTAGTTAGATTATTTGCTATAGATTATTTCATTACTAACATCATTTTAAACTTTGCGGTTATCCAATATTTGTACTCATTTTTCCCCTCGTGAAACCGCATTTTGCTCCTTTGGGGGTAATTACCCCCAGGTTGGAAATCACTGATTTAAGTGGATCGAACTGGGAACTGGTATCGGTCTATCTATCCTCATGAATGTCTTCTCTGCGTGACATGGTGAAAATGCTGATTTCTTTCCCGTATCTTAATTTTTGTCCTAACTGCTTGTAACGATGGTCGTCAGCAGGAGCGCTAAATTGGACCTCTCTGGGTTACCATCTCCCATTTGGTTTATCAGGCAAAATCTCTCCCTCAGTTCCCAATTCGTTACTCTTATCTACTCCGCTGACCATACCTCATTAAGGTGCCCATCCTCTACATGTCTGCCCGCAACTTTGCATTGGCCCGCGAATTAACCGTCCCCATTTACTGCTTAGCTATAGCCCCACCACCTTGAAATTCCCAACTACAATATCTTTGTTCATTAAGATTCATTTATTTGTACCCAACGTTTCAACTGAGCACTAGGACCACTGCCTTGCGTTTTTGCATATTCCCTACTTCCCCTATAGATTCGATTCAGTGAAATCCCAAAAAGGCCTTTATTTCCCAAGAATTCTCTTCCTGTCGAAATTACTGCACATGGCATCGACCAGACGTTCACTCTGAACTACGTGCTGGACTCCTTCATATCCCAACATCAGCAACAACAGTCTGCGGCGATAGACGCTGGTGACGCGGAGCAGAAGTCGAACTGGCGTTCAACATTGTCGGTGCCGGAGCAAATGCTACTCGCCGAACTTCAGTTTAGCTATGTTGTGTTTCTCTTGAGTAAGAAAAACGTAACGGAACTCGTTCTACATTTTTTTATTTTTACGATGATGCGAGACGCAGTTCACTTATTATAATTTCAATTAACAATATTCATCGCTAATACCTCACCGGTGTGCAGTGTATTACAGCCCCGATTTTAAACTCGGGCGTTTACTCTGCGGACCCATGGACAATTCTGTGCCGACCTGATCTGAACTTCCTCCGCGCTTCACACTGACCGTTCGTCTTACATTCTTTGGGGGTATCTACTTAACAGTTCCTTTTTCTGCAGGCTTGATCTTTTCCATTTACTTCGGAATTACTACGGCACATGTTGAGCACTCTTTAATTCTTCATTCTTCTCTATCTTGGGCCTTCAATCACACGAACCTTCTTAAGGTGCAGAGATTGTTTCACCCACTAGGCTCTTTACCTTAACCGTCATCTTAGTGGCTGGTTTCAGTTTGGACTGCGGAGTCTGGCCCATCTACTTTTCGGACGCTAGGCTGCGCCCGATCTCCCACTGTCTCTTCGCCATATTCTGTGCGACCTGGCACCTGTGCGGCATAAGCAGGATGCGTCAATCGTACCCCGGCTCCCCCACTCCGCTAGTGTCGGTAAGCAATCTGACTGGTGAAACTTAACAACGCCTGTACGAACCACCCAACCCCACTTATTGACAACAAACGGGTAACTTAAGCGCCTGGATTTTGTGGATGCTTTCTCGCTACGTGGTTATCTTGACCATGCATGTTAATCCGCTGTCCTCGGGATGGGCACACTCGACTCTAACCCATCAGTCGAATTAAATGATTGAATAGTGACATGTTCCTTGTTAAAAGCTGTTTGACAAGGTATCCTTGACCGATTACTTCGACGCATGTGTTCCGATAGTCACATTTCGGACATTCCCCGTTTTACTCGCATCGTATGGGTCGTTCTTCTCCCATATAAAAATGACTCTAGATCATAGGGTGGTGTTTTCGGTTAATCTTATTTTGATTCACTCACGCCATATAAGGCGGCTACTGATCTCTAAATTTGTGAAGCCAAATGGCCGCTCCTCCTAAGACACTTGCGCTGACTCATTCTTGGTGGCAATCAGCGCGTGGGGATGGGATGTCAGCTGCTGTCCTAACGGTGTTCAGGGACCTGCTCTGCTGACCTTCCATCGACGACAACCTCCCGGTCATGTGACCGGCAGCAAACCTCTGCCGCTGCATTCGCTCACTAGTCGTCTGAAGGCTTATTCATGACGTACTGCTTAGTAGAGTTCGACTAATTGTACCCTCTATTTTCACGAGCAACCTCTTTGCGGATATTCCTTTGAACCCTGTTCTCTTTTGGGTCACGCAATCCACGCGGTCCGTGCAGATTTCGTTTATTACCTTCGGCTGTTTTTCTCAGAAGGAAACGCGCGTGTCTCGCAAGAAGACTCCCATACGTGCCCTTCCATCTTACCGTTGTCGCAACTGGGCTGTACGGCCTTCTGCTGTTGTTCATTGTAGATTAGCTATTTGTACGATGCCAGTAATGAAACTAGTTTTAGTGTTTTGATCTGATCTTCCTTCCATTGCAGGCAGTACGCGCTGTTCCCGTTACGCTCAATCCATACATTTCTCGCCCATTCCTTTTGTAGACCACGTCCTTGAAGGATGGTATCAGTGGCGCCGCATTGTTCAGTTACTGGCCAGTTGTGAACAAGCCACTCATGACCGACCTCAGCTATATCTCGGACTTATCACCGTACTTTATCATCAACTGTGCAACGCGTCACAGTCCAAGGAATTCTTGGACAGCCCTTCGGTGGATCTGTCTACTGCAGAACTTGCGGATTTGTTTTTCCTTGAAGCTGAGGATCAAAACCGATCATGCGGCGGCCAACCCGCATTTCTTCCGTCGGTGATGCGGAGACTGTTGCGCAATATATTGTGCTCTTCTACGAATACAGCAGAGTCCTCATCTCATGCCAAATTCTACGAGACGCTGGTTCAGCGTGCGGAAGGGTTTTGCCACAGTCTAGAGCAGAGATTCCACTGGGGATTAAAATATGAAGCTTTGCGTTTTGCATCAGACGAAGAGGATGTAACTGTCGATCAAGTTGATTGGGACGGTGATGAGGCCCCTGTAATAGTGTTGTAATGCAGCATTCTTAAACATGTACAGCAGAAAGAACGTTTCCTCAGCCTCTATATACAAAGTTGCTTTCATCATTCTGTGAATTTCTTTCGAAATTTGGACTCCAATCATATTGCAAAAAACAGGATTTTTTTAATTATTCCCCTGCTTCCTTGTCCTAACAGTGCGGACTACGAAATTCCGTGATAGTTTAACATATTAACTCGCTCGAAAGCAATTTATCCTTATGGATAGCATCTACTCCCTTGGTGTGTTTTAGAGATGAACGTTAGTCTACTTATCGATTTGCACAAACTCGTATCTTGCATATATTTTATCGAAAGAAGGCCTTGTGTGATGCGCAACTGAGGAAAATGTACACAGGAAGGGGTTTATGCAGTGACTGAAGGATTAAATAGATAAAATACCGTCGACTTTGTATCGCTTCGAGAGCAGTCGAAGGCTGGTAAGGATAAGGCTGGCGCTCACTGAGGCGCGGGTTACTTGATTGCAAGTGTCACAATGTGAACCGACCATCTGTTTTAATGCTGCTGCGTGTGTAGGAAAATCACCCGGAAAAGTTTCCTGCCGCGGCGACTGCGCTACGATTGATGCTGTGGGCGAGTGCTTGAGAGAACTGCTGTGTCTGCGACCAGTGCATTGCTGGGTTTCGCATCGTGACCATTTGACTTGTCCACGATGGTCTCTCGTAGCCGAGGGAATCCACCCCGCCTCCGGTTTCCGTTAGCCAACAAGGCACTTCGTTGTTGTTGATGGTAGTTGGGTTCCTAATGGGCATAGTGACGTTCATATGAGGTCGCATTGCGGAGTCCAATGAGCTAGGCTTGGCGGAGTGTATTGGACGATTAAATGTGCGATAGAACATTGGCTGCATCTCCCACGTAGGTTCTTTCAAGGATGATTTCGCCGAATTTTCCAACAACGATAATGGTCGTGCGGTCGCGCCATCACCCGATAGTGCTGTCATCTTAAACGCCATTCCATTAGAGTTCCAATTGGGACTGTGTGGTTTTTCGGCATTCGTGAGATGAGTGGGATATCCATTGTGCGTTACTTCTGTGCTGCCGGCTGTTGTCGTTGCTACAGATGCACCACCAATAAAGTTGTTCTGTTCGGATGATAAGCCAGACAGTGCCCCCTCGTAGCCAGTCAGATGGGAAGCCGGATGAAAACGGATGGCTCTGCGTAAGTCACAGGTGGTTGTGTTTCGGTATGCACGAACCGGTCGCATGTGCACACCTCTTGCTGCGGGACTGACAAGACATCCGCGAGAGTTATTTTGCTCTTGGCACGCGGACAAATCGGGTGAGTTCAGAGCACGCGATGGTCGATTTTCATCCAGGCTAACTTGTTGGCGTATTCGGGCCTGGTGCATCCGTTCACTGGCACCGTAATCATTGAACGATGCTTGCCTTTGACACTTACGGTGCATTGGATTGTGCATGGGATCGATTAACTCACGTCCAAAATGACGTTCGTTTGGCAGGCAATTGAACATCGGTTGGCCGGATGAATCTGTAAAATAAAAAATGCATCATGAGCTGCTGGGACGAATCGGTAACATTTCATGAAAAACCCTCCTACTCAATAGCAATCGAAAATTCGCCCTCACAGCAATCAAATGCCATGCGCACATAGTTGCTGTGTGGTGTGGAAGTCGTGACCTCTGGCGGTCAGCTATTGTGCTATGCTATGGTACTTAACTCCCTGAGCTAGATCCCAGTTAGCTTGCAAGTTTTCATCGCCTGCCACCTCACATGGCTCAGTTGCATAAGCTGCTGGCCAGTTGGCACAAGCTGCTAACGGTCATGGAATGTGCATCACTGACCAGCCTCAGTAGGATGATATGAAAGTCAGAGGCTTTTTCGAATTATGGATTGGATTATTTGGCTTGTGCGCTGCTGGGTGAATCGGTGCAATTTCATCAAAAATCCTACTCCATATTATCATTATTGCTGAACCCTCTAATCATCTCGATATCTCTCATGGTTTGATGTCAACCAGCAGTTATCGGCCCTGTTCGCTATCAAATCCCACACCAATTGCACACTGATTCACCTGGTCTGACGAAACCTTTATTTTAAAGGCAAAACGTTACCAAAAATACTATACCAACCGATTGTTTCCAAACCGCTCTGAACTCATGACTACTCGATCGGTTCCAAGTATCTTTCAAGAATTCAATCAGCATTCTGTTTACTTCCATTAGATCGATCGCATCAAATACGGTGATCCAGTAGAATTGTTTAAGGAAATCTTACCGAATCAACTCAAACCAATAGCTAATTTGTACACCTTTGGTAGGTGAATATTCAGGTATTTTGGTACGTTAGACTCACTCGAAATTCCACGGGAAAGGTTCAAGATCATAGGGTAACAAGTAGACAAGTGGTCCTACTACTTAATGTTGCAATTTACTATTGACCTGATGACAGTCGGGTGCCATTTGAACATGTCGAAAGCACACCCAAATCCATTTTAACCGATTTATCTTTTAAGTACGGCGAGGCTGGGTGCTTCACCCACCCAAGGCTTAAATCCGATTGCTCTTGCCCTTGTGGTGGATGTATTGGATTTACGCTGGGATGTATTTATCAATTACCGAGGTAGTTGGCATGCCCTCTACCATTTCGGTCCGTATTACCCTATTTCTTCAAGATCGAACGTCATTCATCTAGTTCGGGTCTCACTTGAAACGAGCGACCAGCGTTTTAGCTCTTCAACATTTACTTCTCGTGCTGAAATTGCTCAGCCAGCTTATCTACTGAACTCCTTATCATTGCTGTTCGGTGCAACAAGGCTACTGACCCAGATTTACATGGGCGGTTCACGTTCTGCTTGGCTCTTACTTTGCCAATAGACACTTCTGAGATGTCATCATAGGATATCGTCTCACCACATCTTTCACGCACACATACAAACACCATAATATTATCAAGCAACTAATCTGACCACATTACAAGGTTGGCGAACTTTCCTAATCCGCGCATTGAACTCCGCATTTTAAGTGGCTGCACCGTTTTGATCAGGTGTAAGATCTGGTCTTACGCCTAGCTCGAACATGGACCTTGATGACAGACTAAGAAGAGTACGATGGCGATTTGAGTGTTGTATACTTAGATGTGCCTGTCGTTATCCTCTTGCCATTCATCAGATCGAGGTCCCCCGTCTGAATTGAAGAACAAGAAATAAGACGACAGACGCGAGGAACCGGCTATTCTATCCGCAGCTTCCATGGGTCATTTTGACGTACTGACTGCGGAACTATCCATGGCCCTTAAGCTGGTTTTCACGCCAATCTGAGGGAAGGGGGGGGGCCCTACTCCACACATCCAGCTAAAACAGGGTGACATGTGGAGTACTCGCTACCTAATTTCATTACCATCATCATGCCCATTATGTGCACATGTCGGCGAGCTGCTGACAAGCCATTAAGCGCTCACTGACCGACCGATTGTCAACTGGGTCAAGGTACATCATCGAACGAATAGGACTATTTCTGCAAAACTCCGAATTGGCTGGTGGCTTTTGTGATGGCTACAATGGTTCGAGCAGAGGAACAGGTGCCATAGTTAATCACCATTGGTTCTAAGATTGGAAGCGATGTCTTATTGATGTTTGTGGTCCATCGTCCAACTGAGTTCAGAGAATGACGCAAAGAAGTGAAGATGATGCACGATGCTGTCACCATCAACCTTACCACCTCAGTACTGTGTGCAGGCGCTTCATTTCCTTACAACTATAATAATTGAATGCAAATCCCGGATGTTAAAGGTGAGCACTCATGGATAGTGCGCATCCGCCTAACCAAGGATACTCAAAGCTAATTGGTTATTATGCGTAGTTACGGCGACATCGGTGCGAATATTTCTTCACGATTCTCGCTGCCGGTCCATGGTCTTAAGGAGCACAAGCCTGTCTTGTAATCTGAGGTCGCGGTTTCCAATCTGCATATGGAATCAGGCGACACTCGCAATATCCTCAGTGGCGATTGGTGGTGGTTGCGCAGCAACGAAGCGTCGGCGCTGCGTACCGGCGTACTGCTGATGCCTTTCGCTTTTTCTTTCTTTCACGGTCCTCGCCGACCCGCGCCATAAGCAGTCTCACTCCAAAGATAACTTAGTATCAGACACGTTTTAAACAAGTAGTCCGACTAGGGGACGCCAGTAAACTCGTTACTAGTTTTTGTCTACCTGTCATGTGAGATTTCAAACTTGACATAGGATGGATTGCGTGGGTTCCAACCTGCAGGACGAGATGAATCAGCCGTGTCCAATCTAGTCGTTAGTTACATCATTTTGTGCTACTAAGTCGCTGGTGCTCTCTGGTCATGTACTATCTCAGCTTCGATAAACAAAGCAGGACACTCTTCGTTATACGGCGTGTAGACACAGATGGCACTTTCCTAGGCCGGCGCAACTTATTTAGCACCAACAATCAAAATTGTTCCACTGGGTATGACGGTAGTTGTGAAAACCTTGCAAACATGTTTAATGCAAACTAGGTCTGGAGAAATATGGGACAGTGAACCCTTATCTCTCAAATCGGTATAGTGAGCAAGACGATTCCGCTAGTTGCTCTGTTATGGGTGGTGTGTTGCTTGAGATCGGTAAGGACCTCGTACGACCAAACGGCGAATGCATGACTGTCTCACCTGCCCAATCTGCATCACAGACAATTCAGCTGGTACAAGCGAGTTCTCAACTGTGGGCTGACAGGCGATGAAGACTAGTGACTCGAGACAGCATTAGTACCGTCTGCCACTTTTTCTTCCTGTCCGCTACTCAGCTTTATCTTTCTGATCGCACAATAACGCAAATGTCTCGATTCTATTGATGCCGTTTGTCGCTGCCGTAAAGAGAAAATGAGTTTCAGAATTGTTGGGTTATCCAGTATTCCCTTCCCGTTGCTCTCAAAAGGAGACTGGTGGACTACGTTAATTTACGCAGCTTTCTCTGCTCAATAAGTAGTTAGAGTGTCCGCTATGAATGTGTTCTGCGTATCCTTCTGAATTCTATGGTCTCTTAAGAAGGCTGCAGTTCTCGGTACTTCGAAGATTCTGTGGTTGTGACTGAACCATGTTCTGACTTTGTTGCCTCTTAAGACTGCTGAACTTGTTGTCCAGGGGGTCAACTTAGCAAAGAAGTCAGTACGTTTAGCTGGCAGCCACTAAGTATTTTAAGTCCTAGAATGCTTTGGTATTTTGATTCTACTGTGCAACGTAGCATAGTGCGCTGCTGCTCTTTCCTTGTGTTCTTCCTCAAGCTGTTTCTGACGTCTGCATTTCGTCCCATCAGTCTTTACTGGCTCAGTTCATCATCCCTTATGTACTTCATGCTCGAAACTGTCCCGGTTTATTCTGCACGCTGATGAAATCTCCCACTACATTTCACTATTCCGTTACTCCCCGATAGCTTCAATCTTATTAGTAAGCTATTCATTGCTTATTGTTCAGTTCCACAAAAACAGGGCTACAATGCCATGTATCTTGTATGTTGTGTATCCATTTTTTGGCATATCGTATGGGACTTCTTAATCGCGATATCCGCTTGGTATTTTTCGTGCGGATTGCGTCGTTCACACTTAGCTTCGCTGCGTTAGGTAATCAATTTGAACCCTCACGAATTCGATGTGTTATGCATGAAAGGAGGAAGACCAGACCACCCGTTTCTCCCGTTGTATGTCGATACCTAATTTCGAACGTGCACTTCCTGTCATAACACAGTGGCAGAATTAGACAGTTACAAATTTTCTTAGGCAGCATTTCGGATATGTACGTACCAGGTAAACTTTTAGGCAATGGCAGTGTGACAATGAATGGACCGGAGAATGGGCTGCCACTCTCTTGCGATAGCTTGACGAATTCGTTCATTTTTTTCGCCAAATCCGCAAAGGACGGGCGCATTTCAGGGAAACGACTCCAACACTGTAGCATCTGATTGTATCTGAAGTGGACAGCAACAGAACGGGTGGTGATGGTATATTAAGTGGTGTCATGGTGGAATACAAAGGGACACGCATCGTGATTAAGATTATGACTCAAGCCAAGTCAAATCAATAAAGGCTTTATGTACCCGAGTGGGTGCGTTTTCAGCATTTTACAATAACTACCGCAGATGGACTAAAACAGCAACGTTAAAAATGCAAATTGTATAGATGGGAATATTTGCACAGATGTCACCCGAATAAACGGATGCATATATGAAGGCAATACTTCCCTTTGATGAAGTGGATTATTAGTACGGATACATTATAGTGTTGCTCACCCCAACAGTGGCACCCAAAGACCGCGGTTTCGTCCTGGTTGGGACTCATCAGTTCGAGATAGCCGCAGTTGGGCTGCAACTCAGCCTAGTGGCTCATGGTTGACGCCATAAGCACTATGCCACTGAGATCCACGAGCAACGCTTGGTCCAGCAGAAACGAATGCAAAGTTGGGCTTGGAGAATCCGCTGGTGGTTGGGTTGCTACAAGCAACCTCTATTGAGACCTCGGTTCACTTGAGGTGGACCTCAGTCATTCCGATCACAAAGACCGTAAGTAAAATGGAAACATTATAGTGTTGCTCACCCCAACAGTGGCACCCGAAGACCGCGGTTTCGTCCTGGTTGGGACTCATCAGTTCGAGATAGCCGCAGTTGGGCTGGACCAAGCGTTGCTCGTGGATCTCGGTGGCATAGTGCTTATGGCGTCAACCATGAGCCACTAGGCTGAGTTGCAGCCCAACTGCGGCTATCTCGAACTGATGATTCCCAACCAGGACGAAACCGCGGTCTTCGGGTGCCACTGTTGGGGTGAGCAACACTATAATGTTTCCATTTTACTTACGGTCTTTGTGATCGAAATGACTGAGGTCCACCTCAAGTGAACCGAGGTCTCAATAGAGGTTGCTTGTAGCAACCCAACCACCAGCGGATTCTCTAAGCCCAACTTTGGATTATTCGTATTTGTGTCCTGTCGAAGGTACAGTGCCAGAGCTCGGTATGTTGATCGAGATGATCATTCTTAAAGTAACGAAAGCGCCTTTTGCTAACTTCGCGTAGCATACACGGTATCCCAAAGTTCTCATACGAAAATTCAACACAGCACAGCACTAATGACTTTGAAGTGGCGTGACCCACGAAAAGTGTCAAAAATATTTGTTGAAAACTGTTGTATCCGCGGCAGGTAAGGTAAAAACGATGTTCCATTGAAAAGGCAACTGTCGATTTAAAGACCCCGCCAGTTGTTTCAAATTCTCTACCCTAAACACCCAGTTACGTAAATAAACCTATCACCGATGCGACAATGGTTATGCAGCTATGATCATCCAGTCCCACTAATATCTGGTGAGATTCTCCCAGGCAACTTACTAGCTTACAGCTCATTGAGTAAACCCGAGGTATAGTTTAACCCACACACGTGCAAACACGTACACCACCGTGAACGGACTTTTGTGAATGAATTTCGCCGCAATCAGCGAAGCATCTACGCAATTTTGTCTCTTATTACTATAGGTGCCACTAAACATTGAGGTACCGAAAAGTCTAAACCAGTCCACAATTTAATAGATCCGAGCTTTGAATCGATAGGCTGTAGGTCTCTGGGTTAGCATGTTTCCCGTGTTCTGTACCTTAGTTACTGGTTTCCGCATTACGAAATCTGGTCCCGATAACTACATTTTCTATTAGACTCACCGCTTTTATGTCCTACCAACGCAGAACATGTCTCCATAACTTATCTTGTGTCGAGGGATCAAAGTTTCACTTCTTTTGGTAAGGCGATTTTCCGGACAAAAGATGGAATAGCCACCTATGTTAAATTCAGGTGAATGCATGACCCACAATTCAGCTTTTTGTCTCAGGGAGCTGACAGTCAGAATTATGCTGTTCAAGATCTTTCCCCATGTCCCATAAGTGTATAATGGCACGACTGTCGAACACCATCCAGAGTTGCCATATTGAGCTTCGGCATTTTCAAGTTACAATTCCATGAGTGTCACGCTCAACAGGCCTGAGATGAGCTTAAGGGGTTTGATTCATCAGTATTCGATTTAAATGGATCAAGGGAGGCAGAATATGAGTAAAGAATTCTTTTCGGTAATTCTCATTAGACTCAAACATTACATGATGTGGACAGTGCTAAATGTGTGCCATGGGACTGCGTATTGATCAGACTGATTAATTCTAACGGTAACAAATCAAAATGACCTGCTGCATTGGTAGCTCGGGTTGATAGATCATGAATTCACTTGTTCGCCGAGCTTGGTAATTGGGATGCAAACAATTCATCACCAAACTAGGCGACTTCGTCAGTGCGCTGCTGGGTCAAATGTAACCCGCTGACTTGTTCGTCAATTTGTAATCGATCAGCAAGTGAGTTTTGAACTGACCTCCACGATCTGGGCCCCGTGACTTCACCGGTCAGCCCAACTCTGATAGACACGGACGATCGGCGGGATGGTTTTGCCCCGGCTGTTGCTGATGTGTTGTTGATGGGTCGTTTCGCTGCCCACGACGGTTTTTTAAAGATGTTTTAGTTCTCTCCGTCTTAAAGTTTGGTACAGTGAATCAATGTCTATGTGCGTGTTTATCGACTGCTGCGTCGAGTACTATGCTTCGAGGAACTCTCTTCCTTTGCGTGTCTCTCCTTTTGCTAGGACCTCTGTGTTGTTCCAATGGAAGTGATGTCCTTCTTCGTCTGTATCTACTGAAACCAGTGAGAGAGCGTAATGGTTCTTACAAGCTCTCTTATGCTCTTGTATTCTTGTTGACAGTCGTCTTCCTGTCTGACCCACATAGTTTTTATCACAATCTTGACATCGTATCCTGTAAACAACATTTCGTCTTTCGTGTGTTCCGGGTCTAGCTTTGGGGTTCGACAGAGTTCTCCTCAATGTGGCAGTTGGTTTGTGGGCCACTGTAAGACCGTGCTGTTTGAATAATCTTGCTGTCATCTCGGAGATGTTCTTTACATAGGGTAGAACGATTCTCTTTGTTGTCGTCCGAGCAGGCTGAGGGGTCGTAGCTTTTTTGTTTAGACCTCGCCGGACGAAACTATGTGAATATCCATTTAGATCAAATGATCTGAACAAATATATCTCTTCTTTTCGCTTTGCCTAAAGAGTGCTGCAATGTGTTTCAATTCTACGAAAGAGAGTTCGCACGTAACTACTTTTGTGACATTTTGGGCGATTGCTGGAGTAGTTTAGACTCTGGTCGGTGTGTGTTCCTTTCCTGTAAACCGATCTTTGTAACTCTCTGTCAATCGTCCTGGTGATTAACACATACAAAAATGGGAGCTGGTTTTCTATCTCTGATTCCATCGTAAAATGAATGTTTTCAACGGTGTTATTGTGCAACAGCCAGCAAACTGTAATCTCACAGTGGGTCGCCACTTTCCCAGTATTTCACCCTTCCGATATTTTTTGGGGGGTCCAGTGGCGTTTTACCCGCCACAGCCCCAAATGACACTAATTCCGCAAATTATATGTCCTCCGTAGCCACCACCCCCACTCCACTCTCTCCAGATACCACCTCGTTGGGGTCCTGTACCTGGATTCCTATAGATAACCCAACGGATAACAAGACACTGCATTTACTTTTAATTAATTCCCGTTCACTGTTACATAAAATGCACTTCCTGCGTAATATCCTTCACCTTTCTTCTCCTGATATAGTACCAATTACAGAAGCTTGGTGTTCAGCAGAGATGTCAGACACATTGTTCAGGATACTGGGTTATAACATCTTTCGTAATGACCGCCTTTATCGTAGTGGTGGCTGTATAATCTACGTCAAAGACAAATACTTGGTTCTGCCTCTGAATGAACCACTCCTACAGAAATTTCCTGATTCGGTGTGGATTACAATTTCTATTAATCCAACCAATCTCCTAGTAGGTTATATTTACAAACCCCCATCGTCTACACTCACTGTGACCGATGACTTGTTGGACACATTCTCTTTTATTGCTGACCTCTCACACAAATAAAATAATCGCTGGTCCCTTAACAATAAACCACAAAACACAATCCTTTTATGTCTACACTTGGTCGACTGGGATGGGTACAGCACGTCACAGAACCTACACGGCTTGGTAACACTCTTGATCTAATATTTACTATGGGATGTTCGCATGTGTCCACATACATCAGTGACAAGTTGCCGGGTAGTGATCATAACATCGTTGGTTGTTTTTTCAAAATTCTTTCTAAACTGATAGAATCAGTGATCAATTACCGCCCATTCTCTTCTGTGAATTGGTCAATTTTCTCAGATCTTATAAGGTCTTCATATTGGGATCCATTCTTCTTAGCACAGAATGTACAAATTGCTTGTAATGAATTCTACCACCGCATTCAGCTTTGTGTTGAAGCTGTGGCTCCAGAACGTACCAAGAAGTTGAAAAGGACTGCTGCACCTATAGGCATCTCAAAAAAGGTAGCCACTAAACTTCATAAAATAAAGGAAAAATTTAGGAAAACAAACGATTTTACTCTGCTGATGCTCCACACCAGATTGCTTACAGCGTTATACCAAGACCACCACAAAATGCTCTGCTCTGAGGAAGTAATGGCACTGAAGGGTGCCAACGTGGTAGGCTGCATCTCAAAACTTTTGGACCGTAGGCAGAATAGAAAATCAAGTTGTATAAACACCATTGTAAACTCTGATGGAACTGCCATAACTGACCGTGTAATCATATGTTCGATCTTCAATGACTACTTCATGTCTACTTATAGCACTAATGCGAATGAAGATCCTCAGCTCATGCTGATACACAGAGGCAGAAATACACTCCAAACTGTCGAATTTACACTTAGTGACATATGTCGCCAACTCAGATTAGTTCGGCCATCATGTTCACCAGGCCCTGACAACATCTCTCCAATACTGGTAAAGCACGGAGGTCCAGACATCCCCTGTTTTTGCTTAATGTATTTACGCTTTCCATGCTCAATGGG